GGTGGTGCGAGCTATAGCAGCAGTCGTTGTAATAGGGCTGACAAACACCTGCGGGCAGGGACAACACGTCACCTCCGCGCTAATGCGTATCCAATAGGCTGTTTCCGGTTGCATAAAGCGGGCGCTTGGAGGACACGTAGTTCTAGTTCTAAACGTCACCTCAGGGAGGGGCTTCTTGTAGGGGTCGGAACATCGCTCTAGTTGTGGCGCTTCTCAGGTTGCCCCCCAGGAACCCGTTCGGAGTCCTAAGGCACCATTTGAATTCTTTGTGCGTTTAGGGGATTCCGAGGATTATGAATATTGATCATGTTTCATGTTATCCTCCTACTTTCCTTGAATGTGTCTTCGGGATTCCTCAGGGTTCATCAAGACTCCACAGGAGTCCACAGGGCTCCTTAGTATTCCTGCGGGCCCCCTCGAATTCCTCAGGATCTCTCTGGCTTCCTCAGGGTTCCCCAGGGTCCTCCAGGAATCCTCTGGATTAAATCTGGTTCCATCGGATTGTGCAGGGTTTCTCAGATTTTTTCAAATTCTCCAGGGCCCTCAGGAATCCTAAGGAGGCCTCAGGAACCCGAAGGGTTCCTGAGGCTTTATCTGGGCACGCGGGTGCACAATGGTCAGGAGTATCGGCAGAATCGCGCTCGCCGACGGTGCGAGCGTCTTCAGCGGATGGCACCGTTGGCGCCCTGCCAGAAAACAGACGAAACCACGCAGTGCAAGAGTTTCTTCCCGCGCACGTCGCGGTTGATTGATCGGGCGGTAGAGTTGCGCTTGGGGGCCCTCGGTGCTCGCGACGCGCCGCGAGCAGGCAGGAGAAGCGCGGCGGGATGTCTGCGGGGGCTTATAAACAAGGAGAACTTCAACAGAACCTTGCCAGCGAGTTTGAGCGGAGGAGCGGGGCTGAGCTTCAACGGCGTGACTCCAGTTTCGGAGGCGACGCGGGACAGCTGCGTCTGCGCAGAGCGGCGCTATGCAACGGACTGGCCCGTCGGCGCGGCGCTCGCAGCGCAGCAGGCGCAGAAGCAGCGGCGGGGCACGCGGCAGATGACCAGCGCAAGCAGCGCGCTCCTCATTTAAGAAGGTCAATGAGACCAAGAAATGCCGCCGCGCGCTCGCGGATTGAACGAGGGACAGGACCGCATTACATCGAGCGAGTAGGCACATGAAAAAGGATCTTTGGCAACATGTATGGGAGAGGCGTTGCGCGGTCGGCGCGGGAGAGCGCGAATTTGCGCGCGTACCGGGACCCCAGAATCGCGTCTGCTGTCGAAAGCTTTAAATTGCCAAAGCAGTTATGATGCCAGAGGCAGAGGTATTGCGCATGGCGGAGCGTCTGTGCGCGGAGGGGGCCACGGAAGTTGACAAGAGTTTGGTCAATGTGAGAGTCCAACGGAACTTTTCGGGAATGCACGTAATCAGGAGGAATTGCGCGGTCCCCTTAGGAGTCCTGGAAGATTCCGTGGAATCCCACCGGCACCTGCGGAATCCAGAAAGAGTTTGAGGAGTCTTACGGGATCCGACGGTTTTTTTGGGGGGGGAATTCCGGAGAAGTTCTGAAGTGTCCTGAAGCATTTTGAGGAATCCAAGAGAATCCTCGGGATACGAAAGAATCCGTGAGGATTCCGGAGGGAATCCTGCCAGACGGAACCTAGAGGATTCCCGAGGGAGCTTTGGTTCCACATACACCTGCGCACGAGGGTTTGGGTCGGATTTGAATTCGGGCCGTACCACGGACTACGACAGTTCGAGTAGGGACGGGGCAGCTTTCAAAATCGTTTGCGCGCGATGGGACATGTTTGGTTTAACATTGCATATGTATTGTATTGGCATTGAAGTTGTCGTGATATGGTAATTTGATTGCACTGGTATGATCTGTCTATTGTATCGGCATTGCATGTGTATAGCATGTGTGATGATTGTTTTTTCGCACGCGAATCAAATTTCAAAACGCCATGTGTATTGCATATGCATACACATATAACGGCGCACCGGGTCCGGGGGCCCGGGGCCGGGACCCCGACCACAAATGTGCACCCCGGGGGGCCCGGAGGCTCGTCGGGGCTTGCCGGAGGCCTCCCCAGTCAGACAAGACGGCCCAAGCAGCGCCCAAGACGGCCCAAGAAACTTCCAAGAGGCCTCCAAGAGGGCTCCGAGATGCTGAAGATGGCCTCCAGACGTCCAAGGACGCCCCCAAGAGGCCCCAAGAAGCCTCCAACATGCGTCCCAAGAGGGCCCCTAGACGCAAAAATTTGCCCATTCCCTTCGTAAAACGTACATTTTCAACAAAGTTGTCTTTTGGGCTTTCCGACGTTACAGGACGGCCCAAGAGGCGCCCAAGACCGCCCCAAGACGGCCCAAGAAGCTTCCCAGAGGGCCCCAGGACAGCCCAAGAGGGCCCCAAGACGGCCCAAGAGGCGCCCAAGATGGCCCAAGAGGGCCCCAAGACGGGCCCAAGAGGGGGCCCAGAGGGGGACCACGAACCGCAAGCTCGAGCCTTCCGCCCCAAGAGGCCGCCAGGAGGCCCCCAGGAGGCCCCTCAAGAGGCCCCAGGAGACCCCAGACGTCCAAGGACGCCCCCAAGAGGCTCCAAGAAGCCTCCAACATGCGTCCCAAGAGGGCCCCTAGACGCAAGAATTGGCCCATTCCCTTCGTAAAACGTACATTTTTAACAAAGTCGCCTTTTGGGCTTTCCGACGTTACAGGACGGCCCAAGAGGCGCCCAAGACCGCCCCAAGACGGCCCAAGAAGTTTCCCAGAGGGCCCCAGGACAGCCCAAGAGGGCCCCAAGACGGCCCAAGAGGCGCCCAAGATGGCCCAAGAGGGCCCCAAGACGGGCCCAAGAGGGGGCCCAGAGGGGGACCACGAACCGCAAGCTCGAGCCTTCCGCCCCAAGAGGCCGCCAGGAGGCCCCCAGGAGGCCCCTCAAGAGGCCCCAGGAGACCCCAGACGTCCAAGGACGCCCCCAAGAGGCCCCAAGAAGCCTCCAACATGCGTCCCAAGAGGGCCCCTAGACGCAAAAATTGGCCCATTCCCTTCGTAAAACGTACATTTTTCAACAAAGTTGCCTTTTGGGCTTTCCGACGTTACAGGACGGCCCAAGAGGCGCCCAAGACCGCCCCAAGACGGCCCAAGAAGCTTCCAAGAGGGCCCCAGGACAGCCCAAGAGGGCCCCAAGACGGCCCAAGAGGCGCCCAAGATGGCCCAAGAGGGCCCCAAGACGGGCCCAAGAGGGGGCCCAGAGGGGGACCACGAACCGCAAGCTCGAGCCTTCCGCCCCAAGAGGCCGCCAGGAGGCCCCAAGGAGGCCCCTCAAGAGGCCCCAGGAGACCCCCAAGAGGCCCAAAGGAGGCCCCGAGAAGCCCCAAATCGGCCCCCAAAATGCTTCGAACCTGCTTCCAGGAGGCCCCCGACAGGTTCAGAGGCTCCCGAGAAGCTACGTCAAACTCCCAGCGAGCGGCCGGACGAGGCCCCCCAAAAAATCCCAAGAGGGTTCCAGTATTTGTATCTTTCAGCGCTCTCTGGCCTTCTTCCCTCTCTTTCTCTCTATCTTTCTCTCTCTTCCTTTCAGATTCCGTGTCCTTGCGAACTTCTGCAGTCCCCGACGTCGCCATGGCTGGATCCGCTGGAGCGTGTCTTGTGATGTGCGGCGGTGCGAAGCCCGTCCCACTGATCAAGGCACAGGTACGACATGATGGGTCCATCATTTCTTGCCTTCCCATGTGCGTTTTCCCAATCGATTCCTGGGCCCGAGGTCGCACAAATTACGACGTCGGAGGTCTGGGGAGGCGGGAACCACGACCTGGACCTCCGACGTCTTGGAAAAATCACGACGGCGGTTTTTGTCAATGTTCGGCCCTCCGGGGCCCCTCGCAGGGTCCCGGGACCGTCAGAAAACGACTCAGGATGAAAAAAAAAACCATCCCTAGGAAGTCGTCGAGAGGTCCAGGGGCCGCGCACAGAAAACATCACGACATCGGACGTCCAGAGAGGAGGTAGGAACACGAGGAGGAGGGAGCCCAGAACTCCTGGCGACGCAACAACCAATACAAATGCTTTTTGGACGTTTTGGGCGGGGGCCGTTTCGTCGTGGTGGTGGTGCGGTTCGGGGTTTTCTTCGTTTCGGGGCCTTCCCCCGCCGCCGCAGATCGACGGTGACGATCCTAATTAGCTAGAACCTAAGCGCGCGCGAAGCGCGCGCGTGGTTCTAGTATATATATATATATATATATATATATATATTGTGCGTGCATTCGCCGCGGCTGCAATTTCTTCAAGTAGTTCAAGCTTTATGTTTATTCTGCACGCAGGTAAATATTCAATCTTCGTAGGGCTCTTAGTAGTGGTGGTGCGTGTGCGCGTGCGTGTGCGTGTGCACGTGCGCGTGCGCGTGCGTGTGCGTGTGCGTGTGCGTGTTCGTGTGCGCGTGCGCGTTCGAATGCGTGCGTGCGTGTGCCTGCGTGTCTGCGTGTGTGTGTGTGTGTGCGCGTGTGGTTCTGTGTTTCAAGCTCGTGACGCAAGCTGCTTGAGAGGGAACCGAACGTGGAGGGAGGATGCGGGAGGAGCTCGCCCTCCCAGAGCTCCCCACCCCCAGGGCCAGTGCTTGTCTTGGTCGCCCTGTCGGCCTTGCTCTCCCCTCCGCGCCTCGCCTGCCGTCGAGCGGGCCGGGGGCGAGGCGCTCATGTGGCCACACCGCCCGGTGGGTCCACGGTGGCCCCGTGGGGTAAGCGGGCGTTCCTGGCCTCTTCGGCTGTTGTCCGAGGAAGTCTCGAGAGCCTGGTGCGTGCCCCAGGTCCTGAAGCCGTCGGGCGACAGTGGGGCCTCCAGGGCTTCGAGGTCATCGGACCAAGCGTCGCCAACGAGTTTTTGGACCCCAAATGGAAGGAGGGATCGGCAGTATGAAGAGGAGGAGGAGGAGGAGCAGCAGGAGGAGGATGAGGAGGAGCAGGAGGAAGAGGAGAAGCAGGGGAAGGAAAGTGACGAGGAAAAGGAGCGGGTGGGAGGCACGCCCGTCCTGTGCAAGAAGCTCGACATGCCCTTGCCTGGGCGCGACTTCGTGCGGCGATGCCGCAACAGAACGCAGTTGTGGCGCGGGGAGGGCATGGACGCACACACAGGCGTGTTTTGCTGCTTTTGCTCCTCATTCTACCGCGCGCTGAACTGATCAGGGCGAGATGGGGATGGGTATGCTGAGAAGGCAGGGGACTTCTTCGAAAGCCTCCAGCCTCCCAAGAAGCATTCTTAGAAGCAGGGAGGAGTTTCTCGCTGATTCGAGGCTGACCGGCGGGACGGGTTCTACACGTCGTGCTGATCATGGGCAAGCATGGGGACACTTGTTTTTGGTAGGTTCTGACGCCGGCATGATAGGCGGGCAGGCCAAGAGCGTCAACACTGGTACACCATGCTTGTCACATCTGTCTTGTTTTCGAGATTGCGCAGGTGCGCGTACAACGCGTACGTGGTGGCCGGATGCACGACACATTGGAACAAACAAAGTGCATGTACGTGTCGTGTGCGTACGAGCACGCGCGTGGAAAAAACATCGATATTTCATAGTTATTTGGCTACTCGGTTGAATAATTGATTGCGCACCTGGCTAGAAAAAAACATCGCACGCGTGAGGGTGAGAAATACCGAGAGCACGTGCAGTTCTAATCCAATGCTATCGCACGACGTGCTTGTATCCCTCTCCCCCTGACAGCACCAAGGCCGTGTCCCACAAGTTTCCAGGTCGAGTCCGTGCGGCGACTCAGGAGATTTCGACAGACGCCGTGACATGTTGCCAGCACTGCCTGCTGGCAGGTGGCTGCGCTCCGCTGCTTGCCGCGAGGAGTATACGATGCAGACAGTGGAGGGGGCCAGGGGAAGTAAGGGCGGAGGCATGCGGAGGAATGATGGGAGCCCAGAACACTTTGCGCCGTGAAACAACAAGACCGAATGTTGCGGGACAGATTCTGCCTATGGGGGGCTCACCGGCCCCCGAGCAACATCGAAAACGAATTCCTGGGAAAGGGATCCAGACCTCCTCAGGTCCACGCTGTGAAATAATCGCGGCGTCGGGTGTCTGGAGAGGAACGAGGGGGAGGGGACGGCGCCAGGACGGAGAGCGGCGGCAGATCAGAAGGGGGGGAAGAGAGAGAGAGGGAGCGAAGTGCCCACCGCCAGGCGAACTCCCCTGCAGGTATGCGGTCGCGGAGGTGGAGGTCTCGTGCGACAGAGGCGGCGCCACGTGGGAGGAGGGGAGGCGGACGGGATCCCGTCAGGCTGTGGTAGCGAGCCGCGGAAACATGCTGTTGCGAGCGCGGGAGCGGGGGGGTGGCAGTGGACGTCGGGCTGGGTCTCCAGGAGAGAAGTAGTGTCGTTGATCTGTCGATTCTCCTTCATCGGGTCCTCGTTTCCAGTAGGCGTGCTAGTTCAATTGCTGTCGATAGAATCGGATGAGACCAGTGGGATTTGGAGCTGGAGCACGAGGGGGAGCGGCTGCGGAAGGAGGGAGGCAGCAGGAGAGAAGGGAGGAGAAGACAGATCTGGATGAGTCTCTGCTCCTGGAGAGGTCTTGGAAGCGCAAACGCAAGTCACCTGATTGGGTGGGAAGGATGGAAGCGCGCCTCCTCGTGCACGCGGAGAGGATGCTGGCTGCGGGGCCTGCGTGGAAGACGTCGGCATCGTTTCACAGACGTGGACCGCTTTTTTGAGGGTTCGAGAGTTGCTTCAGGCCCGCCAGAGTCTAATGAACTGGGGAACCTGGGTGATTCTGGGCAGAGTGTCAATGCGGTGGGAGAAAACGGAGTATTGGAGGCGACACTTGGGCCAGAAGCTTGAGTGGTCGATCGGTTGCAATTTTTCTAGGCGTTTCCAGATCTAAGTTTCTGGTTTAGGAGCTCGCACGCGCCACTACAACTGCCCTTGTCCTCACGATTGTTGACGGTCTGCGCAACATGTTTCGTCGTGCCTTTCGTCTCACGAAGCACTCTTGGGGTGACGTTGCGCCCTGCTACGAATCCAGAAACGATTGCTGAGAATGTCTTCATCGCGTGCTCTCCTGTTTCTCCCGGCGTGGTCTAACACATGATGACGGACATAGCGAGCTTGCGAGGGATGCAGTTCTAGTGAGGCGAAGCCTTGAACGCCCCGATTCGGTCTAACACGCCATTATTTTGTAAGTGAAGACCCTGCATGGCGAAGGCGAGGGATTTCGATACGGTCGGACCGAGGTATGTGTTCGAGCTCGGATCGGGAGGGTACCCTAATATTTTTCGTGTTTGCTCGATGTGATTGTGCATATTGAGGGAGAGCACCCTTTGATGTTCTGTGTGGTTTGGCCAGTGGAGGGTGGCTAGACACTCTCCAAGGGTTAAGGGTACTTTCCCGTCAACGGGATGGGGTTATGTGAACCGACGGGGGGTTCCCATAAAAAGGGAAAAGATCCCTTAACTTAGGATTTTAGCACTGCGCGCTAAGAGCAATGACGAGATTTTAAACTTACTAATACGCATCGCAAACAACAGCCAAACAACGATGAACAATGCGAACACGAAAAAGCACAACAACTCACCGTCGATGGTAAACGACGCGGAAGTCCGCCCCCTGCTCGCCCCCCAACAAATAAAAGCAACACACAATCAAATCCAACAATGGGTTCCCGCTGAATCGCGAGTTGGTCACACCAGGTTTGCATGTCCCTGCTTACAAGCCACATGACCACGTCCCATCGGGGCTGGTCGGCGTGAATTTATCACTTGCGCTCGCAGGTCGTGTGGCCGAGTCAACGCGTAGAGGGCTCGGTCGGAGTGGCTCGTCACAATGTCAGGATGTCTCAAGCGGTTGTCCTTCTATTTGCAAGCGTTGCAGCCAACCATATGCGAAGCTGAGACAATGTCCGAAATGACGGGTGGCATGGTGTGCGGATGTCTCAAGTGAAATGCCGAATCCACTGTTGGGGTCCTGGCGTTTCTTGGGGCACGGACCCACGGGAAGGGGTCAGCGCCCCGTTCTTCCACAACTCCCCCCCGAACAATGCCCGCTCGTGTCACTCACTGTTTGGGGTGCGCCTCCTCCCCCTCCTCCTCCTTCCTCCTCCGTAACCATTTCTGCCCAAACTCGTTTTGACCCAAACGGGCTTCGCACAATTGTGTTTCCTCAGTGTGCGTCGCAAGAATGGACGACGATGTCGTCGGCGACGAGGCCCCTGCGGAGGGCGCGGCCGTCGGCGGCGACGGCGTGGCTGCAGCGGCGGGCCGGCGGAGGCGTCGGGGCCGAGAGATCCTTCGCGGGCCCGACGGGCTCTGGTTCGTCTTCGGCGTGCGCGGCGGCCCGTTCGCCAGCGAGTATTCGGGAGCCGAGGGCGTCCGCTTTGAAGACGGACAGCATTGGCTGTTCGGCGCTGTCCTGGGCCACTGGGAGCTGATCCCCCTGCGGGATTCTGGACGCTTCCCTGGTGAGCTCGATCAGCTCATTGTGCGAAGATCGTTGGCGGCACTGCGAGGTAAAGCTTGTCACGGTGTTCTGGTGCACAGAGCTGTAACATGCATCGAGTTGCTTGAGGCTCGCGCTTGCGACCCCGATGTAGTGAACCTGAATGTTGCCCTTGACGCACTGCAAGGGCAGATATGTATGTGCAGATCTTTGGAGGGAGATGCTGTGCGCGGGAGCTGGGATGAACACGTTGAGCAAATCCGTGTTGCGCATGGGGACATCACCATGTGCGGACCCGTTGTTCTATGTCCATCGTTCGCTGTGAGCCTGATGGGAATGATGCAAGTGTGGTGACGAAGCGAATGAAACAAACCTTGAGGTTCGGGCCGCGGCCTTCTATCTTGAAAGTGTTCCGACGAGGGCATGCGGAGCACGTGCCTGCCCTGCCAGCCCTTGAGGCAGGCGTCGCGCCAGGAGTACGGCGCCACTCTGTAAATGCTTCTCTGGTCTTGGCGTGGCTGGATGCCAGTTGCACTCTGAGATCGCTCAGGCACGCCGCTAAAGGCGCGATCGCTTGGAGCAGGCTGTTCTCAGAGAGTGGACGGTTCGATCGTATCGAATTAAAGCGCAGCTTGAGATTGATCAGGTACGAGACCTTGCGCACGGCCAGGGTCAGAGCAGACTGGACTGCCATGCGCCTGACCAGACAACTATTCCTCACAATGAATTGGAATGAGGTTGACATCTACCTGTATGTTGATTCCAGTCCGCAAGGCAGAGGCTGGGAGATGCAAGCTGCCTCGTACCGTGTCCGCGTTGAAGGCCGAGAGTTTTTTTCCAGGATGTTTGCCCCAGTTCTTCTTATGAGAACTCAGCTTTCGGCACTTGCCAAGACTGCTGCGCTATTGTGGCAGATTCACTTGGTGTTTGGCGGCAATGCAACTGTCATGCGCAAAGATCTCGATCGCGTGCGTGGCGTGGTCTCCGATATGGGGACAGAATACATGGTCGCCAAAATGAACGACTGTCTGCCTGATTTTTATCAGTGTCTTGGCGCCAAGCTTGTGCTTGCCAGGCGACAGCGGTTGTTGCCGCGTGCCATTGTTATTCCTGGCTGGAGGCACAAGGTGGATAATCTTATCAGGTGCGGCTGTAATACCCTTGTGTGGTTCCCACGCTTTCTCGTGAGGATCAAGGCGTTGGCGTCGCTCTTCAGAGATGAGGTTCGTATTCATTCGAATCCACGCCACCCCCCAATTGCCAGCGTCTCCATCCTACCTCTTACGCCCCTCCCCCTCCCTCCTCCTACCTCCTGCCTTCCGCCGCCCCTTGAAAACGTTGGGAACCCTGGGATCCATTCGCGGTGGCAGGCAGGAGATAGGAGGTAGGGTGTACGAAATAAGAGGTAGGAGCTCGGACGATGGTGCGAGGAAGGAGGAGGAGGAGGTAGAAAGAACGAGTCAAGAGGTTGGCAGAAGTCTCGGAGGTAAACGGTGAGAGGCCGAGGGCAGGAGGTACGAGACAGGAGGGGAACAGACCAGACGAGGTGAGACGCACGGCGTGGGAGGTAGGAGTGGCATATGATGCAGACTGCAATTGGTATGCACCTCGAAGCTGGTAGGACGAAGGATCTCCGAGGCCAGTGGGAGGCGGGAGGGGGGAGTAGGAAGCAGGATGTAGGAGGTGGGATGAGGTTGGAGGCAGGAGGTAAGAAGTAGGAGTACGAAGTAGGAGTAGGAGGTGGGACATATAAAACTAGGTGCGCGCGTGCATGTGAATGAATATGCGCCCCAGGGTGTACGGCACACTTTAGAGACGCACTGGAGAGCACACGGACTGCATGGTCTAGCTGCTCTTGTGGGATCGGTGTCGAATGTGCCTAGTTTTGCGGAGTGGAGGTGGCAGAAACTTTATCATGTGCTGACCTGCTTGGACGGTTTCATTTGGTCGGCCAGGGGCCACATCACCAGAGCTGCATTTGGAGATATTCGTGACAAAACCCGTCTGGATATAGTTCTTGGGGCCATGAGTTGTCAATCGTTCCCTTTCCAATTCCAAGTCATGATGTGGTTCAATTCGTGGCTCAATGATCTAATCCGTTTTGCAGGGTACTGCCCCTGCCATCGTCATCTGTGGGATTCTGGTGAGGCCATCAATTGCACTCGATCTGGTTGCGTGCTAGGCTTTGCTTTCGAGCACGGCATGTCTAAGTTGAGGGCTGGGCTGAACGAGGCCAATGCTTGGATGGAGGGCAGGTTCGGCCCCGACCAGCAACTGTTGCGCCAAGCCCAAGGCTTGGCGAGGAGCACGTTCGCCCTCGGGTCCTTGAAGCTCAAATTCTTGAACGATCTACCTTACATCTTGGGGAGGTTGCATACGCCTGGCATGAAATCAAGATGCATTGACTTGTTCAATGCGCATCCGCAATGTTGCCATGATTCCGTGACTCTGGCCATCATGAGACCAGGGTCGCCATTGCGCGCTGCAGTAGATAACATCAACGAGAGGGGGGGAAACATCAGCCCTCAGCTGGAGGCAGAAATCGATTCCATTCGATTTGCACCTTTGGATGACACTGTTGCAGAGGGCCCCCATGCCGTGGCTAGGCACCACCACTTGCGAGCTCGGCGGGGCACCTTTCCTTGGATCGCCAGTTCCATCAAGCTCGAGAATAATATTGAGGACATCCGTGGTTTCTGTAGCGCTTTAGACGTAAATCTTGACACGAACTGGGCCAACGCTAAGTCAGTGCTGCAACCGCCAAGGGCAGCTTCTACGCTCATGGCGCCATCTCGCCTGAAACG